ATTTCAGTCCCACACACGTCATGCTGGATAGTGTGCGTGAGGAACTGGGGAGATGGGAACTCCTAATACAGCTGGCAGGATTGCAAACCCATAGATAGATGTTTGGAAAAAAGTGGCAATATGACTAAGACTGAAAATGTATTAATACATTGCTTGTGACCCAGAAATTTCACTTTTGGGCATATTCCTCAAGGAAACTTTCACATATGTGTTCCGAGAGACAAAGACAAAAATACTTTGTCTTTGTGAATAGGAGTGGAGGTGTAGGAAAGGACTGGGTTGCCGCCAGGGCTAACCTAACCCAAACCGTTATAAAGCACGTGAGGACTGGAGAAGAAACACTAAAAATTTAACAACAGCATGAGAAATTTAGACGAGATGCTTCTTAAGTTCCCTAAAGTTTTCATGCAATGAGATTCTGCACCATGTTTGTTCTCTCTCTCTTTCCTTCAACAGACTATAAAATATGGCAGCCTGGAGCCAGGAGAAGGTGCTACAACCAAACTGGAGGGAGGTATCCTCTACCATTTCCAGGAGTAGAGACCTGGTTTCTAACAGGGTGGCCTTGGCATTTCTACGGTGTCCAGTCCAGCTAAAGAATATTCAGTCTGTACTTGTGGGTCTGTTTCTCATGATGCCAAGTTGGGTCCACAGTGATCCGTTCAGACTTGTCCTCCTCTGCCCTCCCACGTTTCTGAATCATTCAGTGCACTAATGCGTTCCAAGTCCTGCTGTGATGTAATTAAGGGATAATGTTTGCAGCAAGGAGTGGAGAGAGTTGTAAATGCCTGCCATGGGTGATTAAATGCTGAGAGGAAGTTGAATAACTGCAGGATTCATCTGGTGCAAGTTTAGTTCCAATGCCACAAATATATATTTTTTCCAATTATAAGATAAGGTTTCTAAAGAGATACAAACACAGCATCCATAAGCAAACATTTGCATGCCTTCATCGTCCTCTAGAGAGAGGAATTCGAATTCCTGCATCATAGGAATGCTACTCTGGGAGATCAGACTTGCAGGCTGAGTTTGTATTTAAGGAATGAGGATTGCAAATGAAGAGTTGCTTCCGGAGGGGTTAAATGGGGGAAATGTGTGCGCACCTCACCAACGCTGAAAGGAAGAGCGCCATCCGTTTCTAACTGTGCGAATGGTAGTTTGTGTTTCTCACTGCAAGGTTTGGCCTCAATGAATCACTACTTATCCTTTCCTGGGCTCAATGTTGTACACCTGGAAATGTGAGGGGCGGGGCTTGGATCAGGTGAGCTCTGGAGTTCTTCGCATTTCAGTCCCACACACGTCATGCTGGAAAGTGTGCGTGGGGAACTGGGGAGGTGGGAACTCCTAATACAGCTGGCAGGATTGCAAACCCATAGATAGATGTTTGGAAAAAAGTGGCAATATGACTAAGACTGCAAATGTATTAATACATTGCTTGTGACCCAGAAATTTCACTTTTGGGCATATTCCTCAGGGAAACTTTCACATATGTGTTCCGAGAGACAAAGACAAAAATACTTACTGCACAGTGTTTGTAAGAGCCAAAATTTAGAAAAGAAACCCATAAATGTCTATCAATAACAAAATGGATAAATAAAATATGGCCTCTTCACACAAAGGAATACTATACCATAGTTAAAAGGAATAACATAGCTCTATAGAAACCAATATTGATATTTCTAAAATACAAGCTATTAATTAGTTCCTATTGGTTATATTTGTGAAAATCTGAGTAACTCAAAAGAAGAATGACTGTAACTGAGTGTAACACACTGAATCAATAAAATTCATGAGTCCATAGTCAAACCCAAACCAAAAAGATAAAAGAAAAAAAATCAAACTGTTGAGAAAAGCAAAGTGCAGTATAACACATACAGTGAAGTCATTTATGTAAATTTTTTTTTGTAAATTTTAAATGAATATAAAAATAATACCATCCAGTGTTCACAGATACATATGTGTATGAAACCGGAGAAAATGGAAAAATACATATAAGTTCATGATAACGACAATGTTTAGGATGCAAGGTAGAAGTCGAGTCTATGACCAGAAGCTGGGGATAAAGAAGACTTCAACTTAATTACTATGACTTTATTTCTTTTATATAAAAAATATAAAAAATAACAGTGTCATTTCCGGATGTGAGGAAAAGATACGTGCTACGTACAGCATTCTTTTCTGCGAATTACGTATTATGTGACTCTTGTCATCCATTGTACTCAGGGCCACACAGCACCTTCCATTAGGACCAGGTAATAGTTCCCTCCACCCAAGGGAAGGCTGCAGTGTATGTTAAAGGTACACTAATTTGAAATTCTTCAGTGTAGGCATTGATTGGTTGGTCTAACAGACATATTCTCCACAAGTTCCAGGTAGATCAACTTTTTATAAGTCAAGCTATATTTCAAACCCATGAGGCAAGTGAATCTTCTATAAAAGAAAGAATTGTCTGAATTTATCTGCTCTGTAAACCTTTAATTTTCATCTATTTGACTTCCTTAAAGGGATACAGATACGATCAGGATTATTGGCATGGAAATAGCAATGTCAATAGTGCAAGTTACCCCACAAATCAAACTCTAGAATGATGTCCAGAATTCTTTAAGTCAAAGGAAAACTTTTCTAAAAGAAACAGGAACTGCTGTCCCTACCTGTCCCACACTCTTGGGAGAGATAAGACTTTAGGCATCACCTGTTAGTGATCCATAGAAAATGAATTTACAGATCTTTGTTTGAAAGGAGACTTTTGTTTGAGGGGATGGAGGGAGGGGATAGAAAAGCCATGATGTCACACGTTTTTTGAGCTATGGGGAGATGACAAAACAAACAAAAACAACAAAAAACAAAACCAGGGGAAGACTGATTGACAGGAAAGAGAAGATGAGGCAAACTTAGTCAACTTAACCAATTTTACTTGGGGTCAGACCTGACTTGATTCTTTCCATTTCTATTTTGTGAATAGGAGTGGAGGTGTAGGAAAGGACTGGGTTGCCGCCAGGGCTAACCTAACCCAAACCGTTATAAAGCACGTGAGGACTGGAGAAGAAACACTAAAAATTTAACAACAGCATGAGAAATTTAGACGAGATGCTTCTTAAGTTCCCTAAAGTTTTCATGCAATGAGATTCTGCACCATGTTTGTTCTCTCTCTCTTTCCTTCAACAGACTATAAAATATGGCAGCCTGGAGCCAGGAGAAGCTGCTACAACCAAACTGGAGGGAGGTATCCTCTATCATTTCCAGGAGTAGAGACACAGTGTTTGTAAGAGCCAAAAATTAGAAAAGAAACCCATAAATGTCTATCAATAAGAAAATGGATAAATAAAATATGGCCTCTTCACACAAAGGAATACCATACCATAGTCATAAGGAATAACATAGCTCTACAGAAACCAATATTGATATTTCTAAAATACAAGCTGTTAATTAGTTCCCATTGGTTATATTTGTGAAAATTTGAGTAACTCAAAAGAAGAATGACTATAACTGAGTGTAACACATTGAATCAATAAAATTCATGAGTCCATAGTCAAACCCAAACCAAAAAGAAAAAAGAAAAAAATCAAACTGTTGAGAAAAGCAAAGTGCAGTATAACACATACAGTGAAGTCATTTATGTAAATTTTAAATGAATATAAAAATAATACCATCCAGTGTTCACAGATACATGTGTGTATAAAACCAGAGAAAACGGAAGAATACATATAAGTTCATGATAACGACAATGTTTAGGATGCAAGGTAGAAGTCGAGTCTGTGACCAGAAGCTGGGGATAAAGAAGACTTCAACTTAATTACTATGACTTTATTTCTTTTATATAAAAAATATAAAAAATAACAGTGCCATTTCCGGATGTGAGGAAAAGATACGTGCTACGTACAGCATTCTTTTCTGCATTAAAAGAAATCTTCTCAAAACACAAAATAAAAGTGCATGAGCAGCAATGCCTTAGGCAGTTGTATGTTGACAAGCACTCTCTCCCAGACCCTATGGGACAAGTCAGGTGGTACACGTGCAACTCAGAAACTGAGGCAGGCCAGGTGTGGTGGCTCAGGCCTTAGCACTCTGGGAGACCAAGGTGGGAGGATTGCTCAAGGTCAGGAGTTTGAGACCAGCCTGAGCAAGAACAAGACCCCATCTCTACTAAAAATAGAAAGAAATTAGCTGGACAACTAAAAAAAAATTATATATATATAAATAAATAATTAGCCGGGCATGGTGGCACATGCCTGTAGTCCCAGCTACTCGGGAGGCTGAGGCAGGAGGATTGTTTGAGCCCAGGAGTCTGAGGTTGCTGTGAGCTAGGCTGATGCCACGGCCCTCTAGCCCAGGCAACAGAGTGAGACTCTGTCTCAAAAAAAAAAAAAAAAAAGAAACCAAGGCAGCCCAATCTGTTAGGTCTTTAGTGTCTAGCTATGTGCTCTCCAATATGGTGGTCACTAGCCACATGCAGCTCGTTGAATTTAAATTAAAATTAATTAAAATTAAAGATAATTAAAATTTCAGTTCCTTTATTGCACTAGCCCCATTCCAAATGCTGAATAGTCACCTGTGACTAGTGGCTGTTGTGCTGACGGCCCACTTAGAGAACTTTTCTGTCATTGCAGTAAATCCTACTGGACAGCGCTGGTCTTGAGCTGACAACCTATCTTTTCAACTACTAGAACATTTCAGTCCCATTACTCTTTCTCTAATATATCCTTCTGCACAGAGAAAAGCCAAGGTAATGACTTGGAGGATTTTTTAATTTCTGGAAAGAATATGTCCACTATAATCCTAAATTACAATTATGTCTTAAGTAACACTTTCCTGTTCAAGAGAATTAGATAAACCATTTTTTGAAAGAGATTTAGCAATCATCTGTAGTTTTATAAACAGCACATCTCATATTCCCCAAAACTTAGGAAGTAGGAAGACAGATTGAAGGATTGATGAAAGCATTACACAAATAAAACTTAGAATATGAGTTCAAAAGTTTTCTAAGAGCCTGTGTTTCTCACCTGTACACAGTGTGAGGGACATACACTTCTCGTATTGGAAATTCCAAAATCTCTTTGTGTGGACGTGTCCGGTTTTCCGGAAAGGGTCTCACAGGCAACATCTCCGGAGTCAGACAACAATTGATTGTCTCTGGAGCTGAGGAAATCTCCAGCTTGAGTGAGACTAAAGAGAGGAAATAGGACTGTTTTAGTAAAGAAAGTGTCATGTCATGAGGGAGTCAAGAATGATTGTTGTACGGCATTGCTTTTATGAAAATAGGATAAATTGTGATAGTGTAAATGTTTTGGAGCTAATATCCTTTAGGTGGAGAAAAAGTATGTTGTGATAACTTTTGAGATTTAGTTTTTATAAAATAAATGACACGAGAAATTGTAAAATAAGTAGAAATGGATTAGAGGATTTTTAAAGTTCTCTCCAGAACTATCATACTATAATAGTGCATAGGTTAGTAACTTCCCTGCATTGTTGGCAGTAAAAGTTAGTAATTTTTGAACTGGGTTCCCTTGTACCCAAGAAGGCTGCAGAAGTACTTTAGGGGCTTTTGAGCTGAGGATAGGGAAGGTACTTTTACTTTCTACCAAAGTATCTCACATTTACTCTTTTTTTTTCCCAATACTAAAGGTTCCATATAATATTTTATTTGACGAAAGGGGCTCCTCTCCTCAAACAATTATCTGATTATCTGAGAAATCAGATCTAAAGCTTAAGGTATATATTTACAGGATTGATTCTTTAAGGAAAATAGAAAACATTAATAGGTTTGCCAAACATGTACACCAATTCAGATTCTTGACTCCTGATGCAAAAATCCCATGTTTCACTTGGTAAATATGATTTTATAAATTCTAGCATTAGACAAATAATGCATCTAATCACAAATGGTATTGGTACAGCAAAGGAGGACA